CATGCGCGTCGGCGGCTGCCTAACCCCCCCGCCCCCGCAGAGACCTCCAGCGTGTGCGGCTCCACGGGGAGGGCATCCCCGCGGGAGCCTTCCTCGCCGGTGGGGCGAAGAGGGTGCGAGGATGTAACGCTTGTTTGCCATTAAAGTAAAAGGCACCCAAGCTGGGTTCAGTTCCGCCGGGAGCATCCCCCTGCCCCCGTGGCAGGGAGTCCCCGGCACTGGGCTGTAGCTCAGCTTGGCGAGAGGAGACACCTTCTCCCCGTCTCTGCCAGACCCACGCTGCCCGTGTCTAGCCAAGCGTCTATCCGAGGACATGGAGGTACCCGCTCGCGAGACCCTCGACCGTTTTCTGTTTTTCCTTTTTGGATACCTTTTGTCTCTCCTCTTTGATGGAGAGACCATCACTGCTGGGCGTTGTCCACACTGGGTGCAGGGGGCAGTTTCAGTCAATCCCTGTGTGTAAGGGCTGGCCCAGGACGAGTCACGCTGCTGAGAAAACTCTGCCCTGCGAGTCCATCAGGCTGACATCCGTCAGCAAGGTCTCATGAGCGAGCTGCTATAATGGATAATGCTCTTCTCATGGGGATTAATGATCCAACTTCAATTCACCTAAAAAAAATATTATGCTGTATCCCTCCCACAGACACCCAGTGGCTGAATTCAGGATCTGAAATGCTGCGTTTCATTTCCCTGTGACTCTCCTGCGAATCTCAAGCTCAGCCACAGGACAGGCTGAGCAAGGTGTGGAGCAATCATAAAGCTGTCCGTGACGTTTAAGAGCAGAAGCTGGAGACGTCCCCTTCCCAAGATTTACGTGTGCTAGAGGTAATTATAAATGACCTGGGGAAAGAGCAGTGGTAGGGCTCGAGGAGCCTGTCACAGCAAAGTTGCCGCTGTGTCTCATTAAAGCTGCACGTGCACGGGCACTGATATCGGCAACCGCTGGTACCGCTGGTATCAGCAATGAGCTCCTTGTGCTTCAGGGAGCTCAGCCCAGCAGTGATGCTGCTGGGCTCAGGGGGACACAGGTTTTCCAGAAGGGTTTGAGCATCCCCAGGAACTTAGAAAAGCAGAACAGCGTGCAGTGCTGCTCAGGACACTGGTGACTGGGCAAACAGGACAAACTGCCCCGAGGGGTTAATGCACAGAAATGAGGGCAAGGAGAAACCTCGGTCAGAGCAGTCAGGAGACCTTTGCCTACGAGGCTGGCTGGAGGAAGAAATTTAACAAGGGTGGGCTGTGGAAAGCTCTGCCCTGCTGCTGGCTTCAGTGAGAGGAGTTTGTGCCTGCTGTGAGGCGTTTTTGTAGAAGAAAGGAAAATGCACAGAACTAACATGTCTTCCCTTCTTTGGACGGTAGGAATGTTTTAATTGAGAAATTTGTTTTAATTACATTAGGTGATATCACAGTCTATTTTACAAGTTCAGGGTAAGAGGATGTGTGAACCAGTTACAGAGAAATCCAGTGAAAGGATAAAAACCTACAACATGAGAAAAATAAAAATGAAACGCATTAAGAGTTTGGTGTGAGTGGAAATGGGAGATTATACCAGGATCCAGAGAAGTACAAAGGATGAGACTAACATAATTTACAGTATTGGTTCTGCATGACCATCGTTTGCCCGTGTTCAGAGACAGCCTCTATTCCCCAGTGCATCGCTGAGCAGATGGTCCCGTCTCTGAGGGTTTGGTCTGGTCTTGTCAGAGGAGAAAGCAAAATAACTGATGGGCAAAGGTCACAACCCACGTTGAGCTGGTCCCCAGGGTCACCGCCTACAGGAGTGTCTTCCACTGGATAGTCAGGGGGTTCTGCACCAAGAACTGTATGGAGGAAAACTAAAACAGCTCCAAAAAGCCCCATCTCAAACGTAGAAAAGTCTCACTCTGGAAGTGCTTACGAGAAGGTCGTCATCATAGAATTTGGTTTCTATAATAACATTACCACTGTGGAAGGAAAAGAGCAGAAGAGGTATTAGAAGAATGCATGAACGGTTGAAAATGACTGCTCCTCTCAGTGCTCTCACAGGCCTGGGCTGACATCTTACCCCCCTCAACACGAGCTTTGGTTTGGAGCCACGTGCAGCGAGCACTGTGTCCTGACCCAGGGGCCACTGGGGCTGAAGGAGCTCTCCATTGCATTCCTACATGGAGCAGTTCCCCCATCCCTCCCTTACCGTCCCCCTTCTGGGCTCAGCACCACGCAGGCTGCAGAGAGTGCTAACAAACTGCAAACTTCTGCTTACTTCTACTGCTAAAACTATACTAGCAGTCCCAGCACCTTCAGGCCCCTCTTTCTTGCAGTGAATTGTGAAAACCAATGGGAATTCTTTTTTTATTCCCCATCTCTGTCCTCCAATGCTGAGCAAGCTACTTTAACCAACTTGACATGTCATTTCTCTCAAGAAGCGCTTAAATGCAAACGCACAAGCATACTTTATACAAACTGCAATGTAATGTGGATTTGGGTGTGACAAAACACCAATGGTTTAAGTTGCTGACTTTGAGATTTCGGTAGACTAAGGTAAGAACTTCAGGGTTGCTACAACACCTGGGCACCTGAGCAGTGTGATCTGACCATGTCTAAATAACCTGGCTCTTGAAAATCAAAGCAGCAGGTCCATCTCCATTGTGGCTCTTGGTATCTGTAACTCTGGCAAGGCTGAACCTGGCAAGCACGTACAGTTTTGCTGTGGCATGGACAATGCTCGAACTCAAATGTCAGGGAATGTTCTTAGTCTGACATTCAGTCATCCTGGAAATCCTTCATGCAGTGTGCCTTGGTTAGCACCAAATACCACATCTCCATTCTCTCCTGCTATTAGAAACACCAAGACAAACATGAAGTCTTTGGGAATATCAGAAAGTGAGGGGCTTTCCAAGTCTTGGCAGCTGAAAAAAGTTGATTTCTTTGGGCCACAAAAACCCAATTGCATTTCTTTGGGCTGGTGATTCTACTGAAAAGCCTCAAGAATGACTTTAGGACACCTCCATGAATAGGAGAGAGAGCTAAGCTGCCCACTACAAGTGGACTGACTCCAGGGAAAGAATGGGACACTGGAAAATCCTCAAGGTTGCTTGAGAACTGGACTCTCATGATTCCCAGTCCTGAAAATGCCTTGATTTCCCAAGATGATGAAAGCCAACTTGTCTTTGTTTCTTTACTCTGATTCCCAAATCTGGCTCCTCCTGTACTGACTGAAAGCCATCAGCTCTGGGAGCCGAGGAGGCATGCAGCACCTACAAGGGACTGAGCAGATTGTGCCAGGGAGCACTATTTGAACACTGATGCTCTCTTCTGAGTCCAAACTTCTTCTGAGTTTCTCTTTGAAACGTGCCATGAATAGAAATCAGTGATGGTAATTCCCATCCCGGTGCCTTCTTGATGTGACTGGCTTTCCTCCAGGCAGGGAATGAGAGCGAAAATGCTGGAGAGAAAGGTCTTCCAGAGGACACAGTGACCCTGTGGTGAGACTGGCTGCTCCCTGTCTGCCTCTTGTTGGCAGGAGGATTCCCATGCCCTTCTGTCTCTGCTGGCAACGTGCTCCTCATGTGCTTGCCAGCACCCATCTAGCACTGCAGGGAGGGTGGCTTTTTGTCAGTGATTACAGCTTCCCAGGGGCCTCTGTCAAGGAGCCTTTTCCACCAAAGCTTGTGCCTTGCTGTCCGCACTCGGAGCAATGCCCAGCATGCATTGCTCAGACACAAGCCCCAGGGATCGCCGACCTACTCAGAAGTCAATGTGCAAACAGCGGCCAGGACTAGATGTTTTTCAGGAAGGTGTGTGAATCCCATTACAGGTGACTGTAAAATGACTGTTTCCTACCTGTTAAGGGTATTTTATTCCCAGATACAACTCCATATGACTAAATGCATAGATTATAATCCAGTGTAAAAGACACAAAGCTTGTCAAAATGGTACAGTGATGAAACAAATGCTAGAGCAGCTCCTATGGGTGATATACTGCATGAAAAACAACCACCTCAGACAAGAGTCAGTGATCAATAGCTGGACTTGAAATGGCCCAAGCGTCTCTTTTTTTTGCCTTTTTTTTTTTTTTTTCCCCCCCTGGATGTAAGGGGTATTAAGCTGCAAAGCATTTTAAAATCCTTTCATGGTTCACCTTTCAAAAAAATTAAGCAATGGTAATAAAGGATCAGTTCCACTTTCTCCAAACTTTTATTGCTATACTAATGCAAATTGGACCTATGGGAAAGAAGGTAATGAGGTTGGCTTAGCCCCTTTTATCTCTCAACAGTGAACAGTAGTGGGGGTGATTCAGAGTTGGTAGCAGCTCCCTCTCTTCATTCCCACTGTGGGCCCCAAGGAAATGCCACACATCATTGTTTTTTCTTTGCCTGCTCTCAGATTCTGTAAGCCCAAGGCACTCACGTTAAAACGTTAGCTGGCATCATCTGTGATTCAGGTGCTGCCTCTATCAAGGACTGCCAAGTGTTTGTGGAGTTAGGAATCACAAAACCGAATTCAAAGAACCATTCTGCAAAGTAAAAAGAAGATCCAGAGGCATTTGAAAGAAGATAAAATCCACAAATGGTCCTTTTGCTTTTCACCTGACAGGCTAGGGGAACTCCCTAAACTGTCCGGCTGTGCTGCCAACATTTTACATTTAAATTACTTTGTACAGCTTAAACTGCACTGAACCCTGCCCTCCTCAACGCAGATACTCCCTTTCTAAAATAGCTGATGGTAATGATAAAGTCACACCACTTCCTTAGCATTCAGTGGAAATTTCATCACACCTAATTTGGAACAGGGAAACCACATTCCCCCTCTTGCAAACATCCCCCGGATCCACTTGAGACTAACTGCACAACTGGTTACCCAAAAGACAAGGAGCTCAATGTTTTATCTCCCCCTCCTCCACCTCAGATTAAGAGTAATGCTGCAGTGACGGAGATCAGATGTGCAGCTATGGAGTCACGCGGACAATACTCGGTGGCACTGCTGTAATCAAAGTAAACCAGAGGTTCCTTTACTCTGACCTCCGGTCTGGTGATGGCCAGCACTAGGTGCTTCTGAGGAAGATGCATGAATCCCCATAATGGGTGACTCCAAAATAACCTGTTTCCTCGCCTCAGGCAGCCTGCGGTGGATTTATGCCCTGAAGCATGATTACCCAGATTTTTTGCTTACATAACAAAGTGTTAATACACTTATGAAATGCTATCCCTAATACTGTGGCCCATTAGTCCTGACGAGACGAGTGCTTCAGTGCTACTCTGAAAAATTAAAATCACCACGTTCAACTCATTTTAGTTTCTCTAATCCCCGCCGTGCTGGGGGTCACTCCCCGCACTGCAGCAGGACTGCACACAGAGCAGATGCATACCTTCTAGACATTGCCCTTTGAAATAAACTTTCTGTTCCAGTCGGAATTTTTCCATTTGTTCTGCTGAGGAAAAGTTTAACTCCCGAGACACTGCTTTGCATTTCAGGATTTTTTTTGGAACTCGAGCTGTGAAACAGATAAAGAAGTATTATTTGGACACAATAAAACAAACCCAGCTGCTTCAGGTGATATTATAATATACTTTGAAATAATGATTAGTGCTAGTACAAGATCATAGCAGCAGGAGAAACGCAAACACAAAGGACCTAATTTTTATATTTGCAGTGAAATCCAAGATGCAAATAGGTTAAGTACCTTGCCCAGAGCCAGGAATGAAACCTGTGACAGAACCAGGGATACAACGCTGGGATACAACATCTCTCAGACTCCTGGTTCTTAGCTGTTTATTACTAAAACCCACAATTCTTCAAGTCAAAATATGAGATACAACTTAAGTTTTTACTTTAGGAAGTGTGCTGATGATCACAAGCAGCCGAACGGCTGCTTAGTATACCAAGCCTGTTAGCCCTCCTCACTTCTTCCCTTTCAGACTCTGCATCCCCAGCAAACCACAAACGGCTATTTCTCAGCCCAACAGCACTCTTTCAGCCATCTCACATAGCTCTGGGAAGTTGCCCTGTAAAAATATGCAAAATGTCTGTCCCACAAACATTGAAACCCACACAGGCAGTAAAGTCAGTACCAAACCAAAGAGTTTAAAGAGACAGTAATTTGGCAATCCAAGGTATTTGGGCTCTTGCAATGGGTGAGACGCCAACAGCAAATGGCAAACTGTACCTGGTAGGTATTTCATAAGGCTTTTTTTAGAGGTGGAGGAGTAAGAGAAGGGACAGTTTGGGAGCATTGATTAATATGCTGAAAGCTCCTAATCAGGAGAATACAGGGGGGAAGTCAATATACTAAAAATCTCCCAAGCCTCCCAACCATACTTCAGTGGTATGACTGCACATAATCCTTCCTGCGACTAGAAACAGTTTTATGTAAATTTATTAGAAATAAAGAGGGGAGGTAATACAGCTGGCATGTGCTTTATGAGCCAAACTGTTCCTAAATGGAAAGCGTATCAAAACGTCCATGAGCAGATAGCAGGCTGCTGTTTAATAAAAGGAAGAGTCTACCAAACCCCAGGGAAATCCATCTGATGCGGAACAGTTTAATGGACTAGGACCTTGATGTGAAAACAATCCAGAGAGCTGGAGGGTTAGGGAATGTAAACTACCGTCCTATCCCATGGAGAAGTACACAGCCCCACAGTTTAAAAAAAAAAAGGCAAAAAAGAAAGTTAAAAGTGTAAGGGAAGAGTTTTAAATGTAAAAGCTCTCCAATTATTTTTTTCAGCTAGAAATCTGCATGGCACCATCCTTTACTGCCCTCACAAGTACAGACTACGGCCTGTTGTGAATAAACATCCCTTTGCAGTTAAGTGTAAAATGACTCGTGAAAACTATTCTGCAATTTAGTAATTACATTTCTTTCATCCCCAAGACAGACTGCTGAGGTTTTCTTTAAGATCGTAAAACTATAAAATAAAAGGTTACTTTTAATAAAAGTAGGACTGAGTAGTCTTTAAACCTCTGATCTAAGAGATTTTAATTGATATTTATACAATTAAGCAGAACATTTTAATTGAAATTATTTATTTTAACTCATTTTACTTGTATACCTCTCTTTTCCATTCAAAAGACAGAAGAGAAAGAAGTTTAATTCTCATCAACTAGGGCCATTAAACATGCTGAAATGCAGATAAGCATAGCCTTTATCCTAAATCTAGTACTGCTTTTTGCTAACCTGATATACTATGCCTGCACATTTATTTAAGCACTTACGTAGCTAATATACATTTAGTCAGATACTTAATTCTGATTAGATTAGAAAGTGATGATTGACACATTTCTTATTTACTAAACAAGTAATTTTGGGCCCAACTGCATTTAGATAGAAACTGAAATTCAATTAAAATATCTGTATCATTATGTTTTCATATAGTTTAATAAAACTACCTTAAATATTTGGGACATATAAGAAAAAAAGCAATCTTAACCAAACTTACTTTATATTTCAAACTACATCTTTTCTTAGACAATGAAAGGATTATTTGTATTTCATGAATGAAAGCTGGCTGTGGTGACTGGGAACAATCCTGGGGATTTCACAAGTGCTAGACCTCAGCAGCTTACTCCAAGTTTTGCTTATAAACTGGAAGAAACCAAACTTTACGGATTACCTCCCAGTTTTGAATGCACTATCCCTGAACTGAGCTAACTGGGTACATGGAACAGCTCCTGCTGTCAAAACCTGGTTTAGATGATTAATTCCAGTTTCAGGTGCTCAGGCAGTGATTTTCACCACTTTCAGCAGTTCAGACTTGGCAGCAATCCAATACCACATTAATATTCTTTTTATTTAATCTAAGCAGTAATAGTAAGTTTAGGTAGTAATACAGTATCATGATTTGAAACTTAATAGTTCATTTTTTAAAGAAACCTGTACTTTAATCAAATATAAGTCTCATTTAAAAAGCAAATTAAGTGTTGTTTAAAGGGAATATATTTTATTCACTCTGCTATATATTTGATTCTTTGTCTGCTATGTCTAGACTGTGATTTGCCTTGAATGTCCACGGAACACACGCACGTGAGTACTATATAATGATTTTGAGACACACATGGTCTTCATTTTAAAACAATTATTCTGACTGTCTCTGTTCTGTTCACTGTTTCTGTTGCAGGACTGTACCAGAATCACATTTCCCCACACCTTTTTTTAATTCATAGTCAGATTATCCTCCTTTGTTGGACATCTCTCCCATTTCTTAGCCTATTTATTGAGAATAATATATCCATCTCAGCCTTCTTTTCTTGCTCAGCCATACAAGAACATCTCTTTTCTCTCTTCTCCTAAGGAAGACCATCCTCCCATCTGTAATCTTTTCAGTGGCTTCTCCTAATAGCTCTTCTCTGCACCTGTTCCAGGTTGCAGTCATCCATCTAGAAGATGGATGACTGAACTGCACACCAGATAAGGTCTTAACAATTCCTTGTACAATGGGCATTAATCTCATGCCAGAGTATGCTTAATTAATTCCCCAAGCTCCTCTGATGGGCTTGAGGGTTCCTGGTTTATATGTAAAGAAAATCTGAGGTGATATGATTTGCCAAAGCAAGAAAGATGGCAGGAGGGAAATGGGGCAACACAAGAAAACCTCATGAGACACAGCTCCAGCTGTCCTCTCTGCCCCAAAGCACACCTTTCTGTAGTTTGCATTGAACCAAGGCAGTGTTAACAGTCTGTTGAGACAGAGTGAAGAGGATTAAAAGACTAGCCATGCATCCAAGGAGAAGCTTTTGCAGCACAAAATCTGGGAAGACTGGGAATACTTTTGGCTGATTTTCTTCTGCTTTCTAAAGCCTGATTCCTCATTTCTCCTAGGTCTCCTGTTAGCTGCTGTGGGCATGCCAAATGTTACACTTATATCAAGAAGGCAAAGCATCCCTAACCGGCAATTTAAGAAATTTAGTACTGAACCAATGAATTACCGCATTTCATTTTAAAAGTTGTATTTCAATTGCTTTCCTACAGGTACCTTTTAAAGCGCTGGAATGCTGTTCCTTAATGTAGGTGTCTTGCATGGTAAGCATGAGTAAATATCTGTTGAGGCCTATTGGCAGAACTGTTCGCTGTTACCACTGGTATTAGAATGGGAGTACAGGTTAGCAAGGCTGAAGGAGACAAAGCTTGGAAAATGCTCTTAGCAATCACTGCGTCACCGCTTTGCTTTCCTATAGCTCTGACCTGCAACTCCACTCCTGGCATCAAGCCCCTCTTAAGCTGAGACAACCTTCTACTGGTCCTAATAATGAACTCTTGTCTTAAAGTAGATGAATGTTGAGTGGGGACCAAATGAGAAGAAGGCAACTCATTTCTCTTGCACCTTAAGTGGCTTTGAAACCAGGCATATTGCTGGAAGACTACTGGACTCACAGTGTTTTGCCACAGATCTTCTGTATGCTCTCTGGGCAGAGAAGGATCATTATACACCGGTTGCCTCCTTCAGACACAACAATTTTCCAATTTATGGGAGAGGTAAGTCCTAGTAATGCCAGGCAGAACTCAGTCCTTGATGTTTAACCAAAAATAAATCAATGTCACCAGCGTAATTAAATGATCAAGTTCATTCCACTTACTTCAGATCAGCTACAGTACTCACATAATAGAAAAGCCTTAAAAATTAATTCAGTGAGGTCAGACTCTTCACAGAGCCAAAGTAAAGCTCTTGGCAAGGAACATTACCTATCACAGTGCTTTGTCACAAATGGGGAAGTGTAAGGGACAGTGAAGTCCTCTGCTACTCAGTAAGGACAGAAGTGGAAGGGCAACAGGCCTTCCTAGCAATGGCAGAGGGACAGAAGAGCAGAGCAAATGTGCCATGCATGCCGTTTTAAAGCAGAGGTCAAATTTAGTGCATGAGAATATTAGGACAGTTGTGGCCAGGCAAGGTAATAACTGTGTATGCTTCTTCCCCACTGGTTCTCCATTTGACCTTTACCTTGACTAAACCCTGTTGTTATACTGAGAAAAGTCAATGTATTTTTATACTTTTTATTTTGGAACGAACATTTGACCTAGCAAAAGTTGGCCACTCATTCCTTACCCAGCTGTGCTCTCTGCTTAGCATTGCTTAACTTGTCCCCTTTGCCAGCCACTGATCCACTCCCACCCTTCTCCACATGTCCCCAGGTTATTGTGGTGGGTCCCCAGGTTATTATGGTGGAAGCCTCTGAAGGTGTGAAGTCACAGCCAGGACATCTGTCCTTCAAAGCAGGGGTATTGCTTGCAACTCTGGCAACCCAGACATACAGCACCACCCAAACCCAAAATGCACAGTAAGGCCACACAGTACCTTCATGCTCCACTCCAGGTACAGACAGATCTTCTGTTCCTTGCCACAGGATTTTCCCTGTTTCTGCATCCCGAAGGTTCATCCAATTTCTGATTGGGAAGCAATTAAGGAAAACAAGCTATCTACATCCCTAAATGCTGCACCTACTGTTCTTCGCTAAGCCCTCAAATAAAAGCTACTCCAGCTGAGTTTCAATTGCGTTTCCCAATTCTCAGGAGGCCAAGGAAAAGAGACACTTTTTCCCAGAAAATAAATGAACAAACCAACCCTTCATTAGAATGAGTGCAAGAAGAGTTGTGTAGTCACAGATTTAGTTTTCACTTTAGACTGAAGCTTGTTAACTTCATTTATCTTATTCCATTGCTTTTAAAGGATAAAGGCAATGTCATTGTGCTGCAGAGAAACATTACTATCAGTAACAGATACTTCTACACAAACAATTGCTGTTCTCCAGCATTTGAAAAATGCTAGAAGAAGTGCTTCCTGTACGACATTAGAAAAACACCCGATCAAGCTTGGTTTTCCTAGTTTACAAAATATTAATATCAAGGGTTGTTCTATTGCTGTTGACCCGGTAAGTGCCACTCATGGAAATTCTTCAGCTGCTGAGCACTAAGCAGAGAGATCCCCTCTTTTCACTCTCAGCAAGTGAGGCCATGCTAGCTTTCAAAAAGCCCAGATCAGTGAATTAGTCATTAAAGTATATAGGCAAGTATGAAATACTTACATTTTCAAAGGGACAATTAATAATGATCTTAAGCAGACCTTTGAAAAATCTTTCCCATAACTCAGACATTGACACATCAGAACGAGGAGCCTGCGCACCTGCCCGATGCCATTTTGAAGAGGGATACAGCTGTCCGCGAGCCCGAGGCCCCGAGCTCCACAGCTCACCAGAGTGGCTCTGAGTCGTCACCAGCATAAATGTAAGCAGCCTAAATAAAGCAGGATCTGTGAGATAAGGCCATGCAAACCAACACCTTTCCAGGTGTTTCCTTTCACTGGTTTATGGCAGTGCACCCTTTGTAGTCAGTACTTCCTAGACAAGATACTGGAAACCATCTGGGAGAAGAGGAGGGACTAATTGCTCAAGGAACTGCCTAGGGAGGTAGAGTAACATAACAGGGATGATACGGACCTTGACGTAGGTATAAATAGGAGCTGTCAGAGATATGCATATTGAACTCATCCTCTAACATACAGTTTCCAGGAAGACTCACACAAACTTGTAACATTGATCAAAATGTTTCAGAGCTCCAGGGAAGAAACAGATGCTTTCGCAAATTTTGCATTACAGGGTAACATTCGTTTTAAAATTACGTGTGTGGAGGAGGGAAGGGAAGATGCCTGCTTCACTGCAGATGTGAGAAACCTTTCCCTTCCTGAAGGCTCGCCAGACTTTTCATGTCCCACTGGAACGGCAAGGGGGAGGAGAAAGGTGGGAGTGCATGTATAGGATCAATTTACAGGCACGGCCTTATACCTTCCAAAACTTACCAACAACTTGGAGCACAGGAAGAGGGAGGGTAGGGCAGCCTGTTCACGTCCTTCCAGACTTGTTCTATAACATATAATATCTACCACTTGTTCTGGGATTAAGGCAGGAGGGAAAGGGGGAGAAGATGGAAAGCATCATCCCCAGACGGCCTCATATGTCACCTCCGTATCCTGTCAGAAAGCTGGAGAGTGGAGATCTCTTCCCTGCTACCAAACCAAGGGAGATGCGGGCTGCAGGCAAGTCAGAGAGAGAAAATGAGCAACAGCATGGCAAGAAGAACCTGCAGCAGGGCTGGGCACTTCATGTGGTGCTGGCTCAGCACAAAACTCAAAGTCCCCAGCCAATGCAACCCGCAGGATGGAACCACCACAACCGTAATTTAAAATGTCAAAAAAATCCACCATTTTTAGATACATCTTCCCTCAGACAAACATACAAACTAGCCAGGGTGAAGCTATTTGCATAGTAAGCAGTGTGCAGTCTATCGAATACCATGTACAAGGGAAAAATACTGACAAATTCATTTATCTTCACAACACTTTGCGATGCAAACACTCTTGACTATTAGCAGTACAGTAATTCAGTAAATTGGGCATTTGATTATCAAAAACCTGGATTACCTTTAAAAAATTATCTCCTTCAGAAGTATTTACTTGCTATTTGTTCACTACCAATATCAGTGGGAGTTACGAGCTCACAGGTCCGGCCGCAGGCTGTGTAGTGCCAAACTGAGCAGAAGACAAAGACCTCTGAACTGGAGATGAAACACTAACCAGAACAGCAAACCCAGCATTGCACAGGAACTGATCCAGCCTCCCAAGTGCTATACCAGTACTCTAACCACCTTCCTCTTTCCTTGCCATGCCCTCCCTTGCCTTCCTGATCCTCTTCCCTTACCATTTTTTGGAGTACTCCGAAATCACGTTTGCCATTTTCAGAAGTATTACATTAGAAGTACCCTTCAAGAGTATACACTACCTCACAGCTTAATTATTATCCTTACTTGAAATACATAGTTATAGAGTGACAGTGACCTTATTATTTCTGGTAAGAGAAAACACTGCTGTAGATTACTGACCTCTGTTGTTTCTCCCTATAAGGATTTATCTCTCAATCCATTCCAAGAGAGATGATACATGTTGCCATGCTGAACAATGCTAGATATGTCAACATTTGGGGTCTTGGACTTCTATAAAGTGCTATGAGACTTTATTCTGTATTGATGTTCCTTTGTAAGAGTAAATCCATGCAGGACAGCCTGTCCCATGCTTTGTATTCTGACTGTCAAGTTAAAGATGAAGAATAAATAAAAACGTCAAGACTATATCCGTGTTCATGAGAGCACGCACGTCAGCAATGCATTCCGCAGTTCCTAGAAAATCATTGCTAACCCATGTAAATTCGATACCAAATGAATAAAGGTTTAGCGTCAGTGTAGCCAAAGGCTTTCTGGCCTAGATAGATGTATGTGCAGGTTCAAGACATGCTTTTCCAACTTCTGCAAATAAAAAAATGAAATCAACCTGCTATTCAGAGTATATAAACAGAGTTAAAATATGTGGATCCAGGCATATTTTAAGGAATCAGAATACTCTAGCCAGTTCACAAGTTTTTTTCCCAGTAACTAAGCATTATTAAAAGAACAAATCATCAAATCTTAAAAGTGCACACACACAATCCTCTTCTATTGGTAAAAAACACTTCACGTTCAAGAGATTAATTCTTTTTTAAAAAATAAATGTTTAAAAAGAAACAAGCATCTGAAAAAAAATTCCTAGATAAAAATCGAGATAATTCATAAAACTTAACTGTAATGGAATTAAAAAAAAAAAAAAAAAGGCAAAACCCACAAGTCATTTTTTTGGCAAGGGAATACCTGACAAAGCAGCAGCTGTACTGCTCACCTAGTTAGCAGATTATCACACTATTTCTGTCATCTTGGATAGAAAAGCTGGTACTAGGACATACCCCAGAGTGAAGACAACGGAGATCTTGAACCAAACTCACACACACTGTTATCTTCTAATGTGTTTAATTGGTTTAAGATTCTTCCATCCCAGCATGAGAGATATTGTTACTAAAAATAAAAAGTGCTCCGTCTTCCGAGAAGCAGTGGAGACCTGCAGGCAGGATGAAGAGGGCATTTTAAGTATTATTGAAAAGAAGAAAGTAAATTAATATAGGTTTAACACAATTACTCTATTTGAAGAGGCTCATGTCAAGCCACCTGGCAGGAGAGAGAAAGTAGAGAGCCAGGTAGTTACAGCTTTGTGAAGTTAATATATATGAAAAAAAAAAGGAAGAACAATAGCATATTCCTAGTTCAGCTTCTCATTCTAAAATCACAGGAACACTCTTACACCATTAAATTTCCATTCTCCTGTTTGTTTTTTTTCTTTTTTTTTTTTTTTTTTGTAGGAACAATGTCTGATTTAAGACTCAATAGATCAAATACTCCTCAATCCTGAAGGCAAGGAAGGATTAGATAGAACAGCAGAAGGAAGGGTGTAGTGTTGATCTATTTATATTCCGCCACCTATTGGGTCAGCAAAGTCTTACATAAAAGCTTTGTAGTAGCTGGAATTTGACTTGCTTTATATACACAACATGAATTAGTTTCCTCACAACCTACTTTGCTTAGCCTGATGAAGGGAAATAGTTTGTGCATTTCTAATTCCAAGTTTTGTTGTCTTGAATACCTCTGATCTCAGAAGAGAAATTCTTTCTTTTTTTGTATCTGTCATAGACATCGCCTCATTCAAACAAATCAAAATATACATACTTATCTTTAAGTGCTTTAGCATTGCAAAAGATTGCCATGTATTACCACACTGGTAATTAAGAATAACCTTGAAGGAAGAGAATGAGAACAAACAAAATTAATTATTAAAGTAGTATGGAGTTAAAGAAGTTCTGCCCTAATCTCCCTGACTATTATTTGTATGTTGTAACTTTTTTAATATCTCAAAGGCTGCAGCAAACAGTAGGTGTAATTTATTCCATTAAAATGGTCCATTTTTCATTTTATTCCTTGCTGTCTACACCATTCTAAAATCTGTGGAACTGCTTCACTCTTATCTTTCATAATAAAAGCAAGCCTAATGTTCATAACCACCCCTGGAAAGGAGGGTCTTTCATCATCTTTGCCAGCTTTTTCTTTTTTGTGTGCATGAAATGCTACATTAAGAACAGTTCACTACATGCCAAGTGCAAACAGGATCTCAACAATTATGTGTTAGTAAGAATTGTCCTATGGGATAAATGACAGAAAGAAGGTGGAACTGAAAGCCCTGAACAATTCAGACTCACATCTCTGTTGCAGATCCAGAGAAACTTCTGATCTGGAGTGCCCAACTTTCACTCCTGATTTTACATTGTCTGTCATGAAAAGCAGACACAACGAAGCACTCAATGGGCGAGCATGTTACTTTAACGAATGTTACAGGTAAGAAAAAATCAACCTTTAAGGATTATGCTTTTATTAGATATATTTTCCCAGAAGAATATTTGCATCTCAGTTGTTTCAATCCAGTCTGAGGGGTAAGGACCAAAATAAGTCACGCAAAGTATCTACCAAACTACAGCA